GTCGGTGGCGATGTAATGATGTCGGCGATGTAATGATGTCGGCGATGAGAGGCCGATCAAGTGTATCCATGAAACGGCTCTCATCGGCGCAGCACGGGGATGATACCGGTCTTCAAGTAAAGAAAATCATGTCGTGCCGATAGGCCGGCCGTGATGTAATGGTTGGCGATGAGAGGCCGATCAGCAAGAAAAAATCAACGGTCCTCATCCGCGAAGAGCGGAGACAAGGCCGGTCTTCAAATATGGAGAACACACTGTGCCGAGTGGCCGGTCATGATATAGTGGTGTCGGCAATGAGAGGCCGATCAGCAAGAAACAATCAACGGTCCTCATCCGCGAGGAGCGGAGACGAGGCCAGTCTTCAAAGGGTAAACACGCCGTGCCGAGAGGCCGGTCGTGATATAATGGTGTCTCACGGCCCTCGGCCGTGATGGTCTTCATTTCATGTGTCGTGATACCTACACACTTGTAGTCTTTTTTTTTTTGCGTTGCCAATCATGAACGTCTCTGCGCTTCATGCCGAACGTCACGAACATCCCTGTGCTCCATGCCGAACGTCATGAACATCTCTGTGCTCCATGATCTCCCCGTTCGAGCTGACCGAACGGATCTGAATGAGTGTGATTATTTTCTCGTCTCCAGTCATGAACGTCTACGCGCTTCATGCTGAATCGTCATGAACATCTCTGTGATTCATGATCTCCTCGTTCGAGAATATCGAACGAATTTCACTGCACAATCAGCATGGTAATATGGTCGTACGGCCGAACAACATATACAAGTATATATATATACACACATGTATAACACTTTTTTTTTTCTTCAAGTCATGACTATCGGCCGAGCTGGTAATAACAACCCTCGGCCTAGATTTATTTTTCGACTGCAAGTCCACAACCGGAGCCATCTAACGCTTGCCAAGTGCTTTCAGAAAGGTACGTTCTTTGCTCTGTACTGGGTATTGTGCCGTTCAGGCACTCAATGTCGAGTGGGGCCATTAAAATACGTCCTCGGGCAACGCCCTTGCGAGACGCTTCAGTCAATTTGGGTCGATCGGGAATGGACCGTCACACCCGATCAAACCAAGCATTTAACTAACATGTTGGTGATTTTATTAATAAAACTTCGTTCGGCACTATTCTGTTCGGGAATTTTAATCCCTAACACCTGTCATTAAAACTTAAAATGATGGTGAATATCTATCATTGGAGCATCCCTTGATAATATTTAACTCGGGATATTCTAATCCCTACTAAACAAATAATGGCGATGTGTAGTTAATAGTAATATTACTACATCATTCCATTTAATATTTTCATGGATGTCCGGCCTCACCGAGCGGGTCCGTAGATGCTCCCGACCGCTAATTAAGGCCGATCGGGGTAAGCCAATAGCCCCCACTACAACCCATCATTTAATTTAAAAAATGATGGTGTACTTAATCATTGGGGCTTCACTTGGTCATTATTTAATTCGGGATATTTTAATCCCTTTTCAATAATGTGATAACATAAGATAGAAGTGAGGCAATGTAACATCTTAATGTACAAATCTATGAGTAAATATTGGTACTTAGCTTTAGAAATAAGTCTCGGCCGACTGAGAGTATCCTGAAGCCACATGGGGTCCTTTTATCAATTTTGACTTTTGTCAATAATTCTCGAAACCCCGATGGAGATTTCCCTTCACCAACCGGTCCACAGCACGTTCGCTCTTCCCCATCTTTTCACTTAATCGGCATGGCAGGTCCCCAGAACATGACCCAAGACCAAATCCTGCTCATCGCTAAGTGCGGCGAAGCCGTTCGGGAGATGCTAGGACACCCGGTCATAAATGGAAACTTCGCATATCTGATTCCTTTGACATACTTTGACATTTTTAGAGTAATTTGATTGTAAAATTGCATATGATTAGCGGGTGTGGTGAGTTGTGATTGTAGAGGCCGAATTTGCGGCGAATAACGCATTTATGTTAGAGCGGGACACTCTAAAGGCTCTTGAAAAATAGTTTTGCACAGCAGCCCAAATGAAAAAAAAAAAACTGCAGCAATTTGTTTAATCTAAGTGCAGTCCAAAAAAAGAAATGAGTTGAGGTTTTTTCCCTGGATAGCAGCCGCACCGCACCATTCTATTCATTCTCAACTCAAAAGCACCACTGGAAGATTCATTCCCTCTGTTCCTTTTCAATTAGCTATAGCAGCAGTTCATTTTTTTTTCTCGTGGCATACAAACAAGCAGCCAGCAGTAGAGTTCGTTTAATTCATTCTTCTCTTTAAAAAGCACAGCAGCACGAGTTCATCCATTCTCTCTTTTCCTGAAATCGATCATTAGCAGCAGCAGAGTTTTTCTTTTCTCTCTTTTGAACAACGCAACAGTAAGAATGAACCTATGATTCACTTTTCTTTCAGTTTCATCCCATCTAGTATATATTTAAGCAAGTATTGTAAGTTCAATTATCTTTTACATTACTAGTTCTAGATTTTGAATTGAATTTCGAATTTAATTGTCTCCGACTAGTAATTTCAGAATTTTCCCATCTTTCTTTGACATAATTCAGTTTTTATTTCTAGCTCCTTATCATGTTTATCAATATTATTGTTATGTTAGTTTTAAGTATGAGTAGCTAATTTCATAATAGGGTTTAAATTGGAGCTAGGATTCATGGGTTCTTGAGGGTGTGAATTTAGTTTTTGAAATTCAATTAATTTTCTGAAAAATTGTATAAGATTAATCATAATTGTCTATATGAATTTGATCACCTCATATATGAATACTTGGATTTAATTCAATTCTTGTCTATGAGAAATTGAGTTAAATTAGCTCGGATCTTATACAATCAATCTGATCTTAGAAATAAGTTAGGATTGTCGAAATATGATTTAATTCTTGTCTATGAGAATTTATTTCATTTTCTGTCCAGGAATAATTGAAAATTAATTAACTTAATTCTAATCCCGAAAGAACACCCGGAACCCGAACCATCCAATTCGAACCCTGTTTTAATATCTAGAATCAGTTTAAATTTTTTTTACTCTATTTATTTTTTGCACTTGTTATTAATTAGTTTTATTTTCAAACCACTCAAAAAAAATTATTTTGGAAAGATTACCATGACTTGTGCTAGCCAGTGATCACGAACTGTATTTAAAACTTCCTTTTTGCCACTCCTTGAGAGACGATACTCGTGGTCTGGTTATTCTACGGATAAACCAACTACGTTTTACTCACTAAAAAAAAATACACCGATCAGGAAATCAGTCCATCTTCATACCAGTACCAAGAACACATAAATCTTTTAGAACGGATTCCCACAGACGGCGCCAATGTTGAGGTTTTGTCCCGTAGATCCGAAAGTCCAACATAAACTTTGGATATTAAGGACGATTAATTCGGTATAAACATAAATACAATATATAAAAGTGTATGAACTAGCTATTTTTACGTGGAAATCCAGAAAGGGAGAAACCACGGGACTTTTTAGGCTAACGTTCAGACCCGCTCTTTTCATTGATATACTCTCCTCCCCATTTACATGATATATTTTCAGCTTCCATTAATGGAGCTTGAGATACTCTAATCTAACAAGGTGAAGAAGAATAGGCAGGGAGGGAGGAGAAGAGCCAAAAATCCGATCCCCCACAAATGGGAGCCCTCCTCCCTATTTATAGGAAATAGGGGAGGGTTTCTGATGGGCCAACGGGCCTAACGGGCCGAGAAGGCTCTAATGGGCCGAAGCAGGCCTAACTGGGCCTCGCTAATTGGGCTTCGTATCGAGGTGATGCTTTGGGCCCCTGAACAGTAGTGGGTCGGGGTAATATACACAACACCAATTAAACCGTGATTTGAAGTTTTGAAATGCATAAGATAAACGAAACTGATTGATTAATGATTGTATATTCAAAAAAATAAAAAATAAATTTCTGGTGTTTATTTAATAAATTTGTTGCACATATGAGACATTTAAATTAAATTTGTGGTGATTTTCCATATTAAGTGCTGCACTAAGTGCATAAACTCATTAATGTAAAACTACTATGCAACGATTTTAAAATATTAAATTTGCGACACTTTTTTCACATTTGCGGTACTGTTTCACACAACGTCGCAAACTGTGTGGGTTTTTTGGATAAAAGCGCAGCGAATTTTGAATTTGCAGCACTGCGTTATGCGGCGCTTATTTTGAATTTTTTGGATAAAAGCGCCGCACGAATGGTAAAAAAAGCGACGCATATGGCAATTTTTTCACTTTTGGTATCAAATCAAAGTAAACAAAGGGTGGGGTAGGATAAAGTGATGATCATGCACAAAGCAAATAAAACACTAAGATAGTCGTAGGTCACAGTCACTACTTTAACTCACCCCTCTTGAATACTTAATCATTGATATTTTTTGGTTAATTATACTCAATTTTGATCAATGATACTTTTTAATACAATGATTACGGAGTTATTTTGAATATGAAAATATATATATTAAAGTGTTCCTTATTAAAAGTATTATCATAAATATATTAAAAAAAATCCAATTATATAATACTACCTCCGTTCTTAAATAAATGCAACATGTTGAATTTTACACTATTCACATTTTGTACTTTGACTAAGTTTTACTCCCTCCGTCCCGAAAACAACTTCCCACTTTCCTTAAATGGATGTCCCAAAATTAACTTCACACTTCAATACTTTCCTTATTTGACAAATTATCTACATCAAAAAAGTGATAAACAGTGCCAAACAGTGTTTAAACAGTGCAAAACAGTGCATTCTACAGTAAAGTCAAATTTATTTCCTAAAAGTGTGTGAAAGTCCAACCGGGAAGTTGTTTTCGGGACGGAGGGAGTATTAATTAATGTATTAATATATTTTTATGAAAAAATATTGTTAAATTTGTCTTATTGTAAATTTTCAAAATCTAATTTTTATAATTTTTTTACCAATACAAATTATATATATATATATATATATATATATATATATATATATATATATATATATATTAATGGTCAAAATTGTGTCTCGGCAAATGTGAAATGTTGATCGTTACATTTATTTAAGAACGGAGGAAGTAATATACTCCGTATTACATGAAATTGTCCAAATTGTGCTATCATTGACCAAGAAAAGTCAATATAGCAAAGTCTTTTTAAGAGGAAGGTAGTAAATCATAGAGAAGATCTTATATGAGCATGAATTTCTTTGTTGTGTCCTTCAGCTATCATATCATCCACCCCCTTCACGAATGTTTCCATTGCAAAGGCAGGTAAGCTCACCGGAACCACGATTCCATTGTTGAATGGTATATAGAAGCTTGATACCCCGGGGATGGCACCAACACCTCCTTTGGCAGCTCCGCCGTAAGCCGGCTTTCCCCACCCGAAGTCCACCTCATCGAACCCAGCCCGTGTCAGGTCGGAAACAAGATAAGTCCTTACCACCGTGAAATGCGGCCGCCCCTTGGCCACCATCATCTCCGCCACTGACCTCATGTACTCCTCGGTCACTTCAGATTTGGTCTTCTTCACCAGCTCCACCGCGTATTCCAATGGTTTCTTCACTAGCTCCTCCGCGGTGGTTACCGCCACTGGGAACGCAAATGCGTTGCCGTAGTAACCTTCCGGTAAAGGAGGATGGTGAAATCTCGAGCGGGCGTTCACAATACAGAGCACCCGAACCTCTTCTTCCGGGTCAGGTTTCAGGGCAGCGGTGCGGCAGCGCCAGAGACACGCCGTTACGATATCGAAGGTGGAGCACCGCCGCAAGTCGTTGGGGAGGAGACGGCGAAGAGCGGCGACCTCCGTTGGTCCAAAAAAGAAAGAGCGGTGGACCATGTCGTCTAAGGGCATGATGGTCCCCTTGGAATCCGGGACTTGGTCGTACTCGTGGTGGGTGTACGCCGTCGCGGGACGTGGAGGTTTCCGGGCATCCAACAATTCCCTTTTCCAAACGGGGAGCACGGACGGTGAACGGGAACCGCGTGCTATTTCAGCGATGGCGGTCATGAACTGGACAAGACCAAATGCGTCGCTAATGGTGTGGTTTAGTCGCAAGGCAAAGATGTAGCCACCACATCTCAGGCGGGTGACCTACGTAAACAACAACAAATAGGCGTAAATATAAAAAGAGAAGTAAATAGGAGTAAAATTGTTGCTCCAAATTCTTTTTATTTTCAAAATAGAAGTAATTTTGGAGTCGTCAAGAAAATTGACGACTCTACATATATAAATTGGTACGTAGTAACCAAGCATTCCAGCCCAGCTGGTTGTGAGGTTACCGTGTCTAGCGAAAGGTCTCGAGTTCGAAACCTGCTAGGCACATAAGAGTTTAAAACTCAATGGAGTGAGTTTCAGCCCTGATTACTCCAGGCTCCTTTTAGCCCCCCAACCTCCCCTGGAGTAACAAAAAATGGTACGTAGTAAAAAATAATGTTCGTGTTATTCAAAATATATGGAGTAAATTTTTTGTGACAAAATATGTTCCTTTCTTTATTGAGAATAACAAAAAATATCTTAAAATAGAATTGACTAAATGATCAAATAGGCTCATGTATCTTTTCGCATTGCTCAATTTGCTCCCTGAAAAAAAAAACTTCAATTGACACCCTAAACTCGATAAAAAATTCAAAATTTACTTTTTGCCATGTCACTAGGTAGAATGCAAATTGTGCATGTGACATGACAACACAAGGGGTCAAATAAGCCCACGAACCCGATTGAATCGTTCAATTCACCCCTACACCCTTAAAACGTCAAAATTACAAATAAAAAAAGAAATAAATAATAAAAATAGAAAATAAAAATATAATAAGAAATAAAAGTCGAAAATATAAATTATAAATATGAAATATTTATATTTTTTCGGTAACTGCAAAATAAAGAAATAAAGTGTAAACCAAAAAAAATCTTGAAGTTTATTTCCAAATCATATATTTATTTATTTTTTTGTAAAAATGTAATAGTTATGTGCACATACAATATATGCGTGTGTGCGCGCACGCTTGGGTCCACACACATATGATTACATATATTAGCTTACGTTGTACTTTGTATATATAATACGTAAAAAATATTTAATATATATCATATATATATAATAATATAAATATGCAGTTACTATTTTTATATTTTAATTCTTATACATAGAGTAGTTGGAGTAATTTTTATATTACCATATCTATCAAATATTTTCAACATGTATTTTATTTTTTATTTTTTATTTTCGAAATATATTTATATCTCATAAAATATTTTTGTATTTGTTTTTGAGCTTATTTATTTTTTCATCATCATTATATACATATATACTTCATCCAATCTCTTTTAATTGCAACACTTCTTTTTTCAGGTTTGCCAATTACAATTTTGACCGTTAATATATTTAAATCTCTATTAGTAAAATATTTAAATTCAGTTTTTGAAAATTTATGACAAGACAAATTTAATGATGTTTTATAAAAACTAATTGAATAATGCATTAGTGAGCAAATGTAGTCAAAGTAGAACATATGTAAAACTCATCAACATGATATATTGCAATTATTTAATTAAGAAGGGATGAAGTATGTCATAAATCCTAAAAGGAAATATTAATAGGACACGCACAAATGAAAGTAAGGATGTTTTCACTTAAATTTACTTAAGTCTCATGCCATACTAGACTAGTCCATATCAGATCTCTGAATCAGTCAAGAAAACATCTAAAATTAATTTTAAATATGTGCATCAAGAAAATTTGGTAAATTTACACTTCACATTTTAAAATCACTTAGACAAGACTATGAGCCTGCTTGGTAACATATATATATGACTTATCAGTCATATCAGTCAACTTTTTCATCAAACACGTATTTTTTTACTTCGTGCATTGGATTGCATAATAATCAAAATAGTTAAGGTCAGAAATATTTTTTCTGGCTTATTTTCCTGAAGTTACTGTAGAAGGTAATTTTAGATATATTTTCATAAATTTTTTTCTTTATTTTATTACTAAAAACTCAATATTTTAAATATCCGTATTCATAATTCAGTAAATTCAGCTAATTCAATCGCAATAGTCAGAATTTCATCAATTTCATCTTATTGAACCGATTGCATTCGATTTGAGTATTATAAAAAAGGCTCTGTATGGATTCTCAAATTTAAATTAGGGTGACAAGAAGCTTTATTAAATAAGTCTAAAGGCTAAAGCACTTTCCAAAGTTTCAAGTCTAAAAGTCTAAATGTCTTCTTTAATTACAAAAGTTTAATTAAAGACTAAAAGTTAACTATGGAGTTATAAATGACTCCGTATATTACAATATAATAAAAAAAGTCTTTCTTTTTTACTGAATACTTCTCCGTATATACAAAAGTCTTCTGGTTACTACTCCGTATTACTTTAGCTCAAACCCATGTCTGAATTTTGGTACATATCATAATTTATTTTTGTTTTGTTTTGTATTTATGTTTTTTATTTCAAAACAATTTTTTTATCTTCTACGGGAAGATAAAAAAAATTGTAGAATTAAGCTCCTCCATATATTTGTACCTGAATGAGAAGCAAAGGAGAGTTGAGAACATCACCGGAGCCAGGAACATCATAAAGAAGCTCCTCCACGCATGGAAATGGAGGTTGTAGGGCATCTCCGAAGTCCGACAACGTGACGTCAGCATCGCCCTCGATAAACACGATCCCCTCCCCGGTGCAATCCACCATAAGTTTCCGGCCAACACCCTCCCGGAGCCTCCCGGCGAAGGGGTAGTAAAACACCAGAGCTTTGGCCAGTGCATCCCGGATCACCATCACGGGGTCGCTCCCGTGCATGGACGGATGGTGGCGGTAGAATTGTATGATTGGAATCTGAAACCTCAAGCCATCCTGGTCGTCAATGTCCGATAGGAATTTGACGACCTTAGGCGTTGGCTCCGCCGGAGAAACAAGCTCCGGCGTCCGCCTTCTCACCGTGAAGACCAAAGACTGTGGTGCAGTCATGGTGTTAATTAGAAGATCAGAAGAATATTTTGGCGAAGTGGCTATAATTCTCAATCATCACTACTTATATAGTGTACTTACGGCTTACGCGCACTCTAAGGTCAAGTCAAGTTTAGAAAATGAGGCCTAATTAAGCTTTTACAACAATTCTTGACGTATGTACACACTTTGGCACACAATTGCACGACCTTCATCTATATGCACATACAATTATATACAAATGTATATCAAGTGTACAAATATCGCGTACAAATAGAAATTTTTCCAAAGAGAAATGATTATGAATAGGACATACTAAAAGTATCGATATATATATATATATATATATATACCTTAATAAGCACTTAAAAGATTTTAAGCACTTATTTTTCCATGTGTTCTAAATTTACCCCTAATTTCTCTTTTTGGAATTCTATCATTTCCGAACTTGAAAAGATAAATTAATTATCAATCCTGGATCCAAGTGATGAAAAGTATCTATATAGAACCTGAATGATAGAAAACTATCAATCTAGGACTTAATATCTCATAGGTTTTGATTTGTTTAACTTTTATTAATTCCATTGTTAATCAATTCTTGGTAAAATTTTCTTTCACAAAAGTTTATTAGTTTAAAAAAACTAAATTAATAATATATATTTAACATTTTTAAAATAAAAAAAGTAATAAAATTTATGACAACTTCGATCCAAGATTATTAAATTAGTTCTCAATCATTCAAGTCTTAAATTAATAGTTTTTCATTATTTGAGTTATATATCGATACATTTCATTTTTCAGGTCTTGGATTGATAATTCGTATGTCTTTCGCGCCCTATATTGATAACTTTCCTCTCATTTTCTATGCTCGTGGCTCACCTTTTCTTGCTTCCATTGTGACTATTGACAAACTTCTACGAGCCACACTTTCCTTTGGTAAGGGAGAAGAGGGTGTGGTGGCGAGCCAGAGATGAGGAACAATGGAGAAGAGACAACAGCACGGCGACGGGGCAGCGGTGGCACGGTGAGTTGGTGAGGCGGCGGCGGGGGCTGCACGGCGATGCGGCGGCAACATAGAGGCGGAAATTAAATCCCCGGTAAGTCTCCTCTTGCCATCCTTATTCTTCCTACTTTTCTGTTGTGTCTTCCTTCGCGTTGCAATTCGGCTCTGTTTTGTATTTCGACCGTGAAGTTAACAGATCTATTCCTATGTTACAAGAACCGGACCGGTGAGCGCCCCGATCGGACGTCTGGGTCACAGGCCAATCCGGACCCGGCGGGTCAACCTGGTTAATTCCGGGAAGACCCGGTCAACGCTTACAAAATTATATAGTACTCCATACCTAAGATATATATGATAATATATAAAATTATAATAAAAGGTAAATATTATCACTATTCAATAATAAAATAGATTGAATACTCAATAAACATTTAGAACACAAAGATATTATTCTAAAATATAGGTTTAATCCTATTTGATCTATAGTTTATTTGATAAATTTTTAAGTTTACAAAATAATTTGACATGGTCAACTATCTTTCTTGAATAAATATCCAAACTATCACATAATTATAATTACTACTACCTCCGTCCGTTAAAACTTTGCCAAGTTTGATCGGCACGGGGATTAATAACGTAAAAACTGTGTGGTTGAGATTTTTGTTCAAAGGAGAGAGAATTAACAGAAACCACAAATTCTTTACTTAAAATGGAAAGTGGCAAAGTTAGTGGGACATTCAAGAAGGAAAGTTGGCAAAGTTTTAAGGGACGGAGGGAGTATAATAGATTTGTACTTATATTTGAATTTTGAAATGTTGTAGCCTTGTAGGTATAGTATGAGAGCATACTAATGATGTTAAAGGGGTATACATTTGCAATGTTCGAAGTACTACGGAGTGCAATTTTTACTTTGTATTTAGACTAATTACATTTAGGACCGGATTCGCGGAGTTTTATCTGTTCTAGGCCGGATCCGGGTGACAACGGGCTGCCGGTTAAATCTGGTTTTGTTCAAATTGCAGGTTAATAAGTGATCGGACCGGGATGATAGTCGGGAAGCTGGTTTCGGGGTTGACACGCTCGGTCGGCTTCGGGTCCTGTAACATAGATCTAATCTATGACCATTTTCATTTTGCTTTCTTCTATTCTTTTCTTTCCGAGTTCTTTTCTCATTTTGTTCTTTTGACTTTTGGGTAGAGAACTAATTTTTAAAATTAAATTAAGATGGTGTAAGTATGTGTCAATTTGTTTGTTGTTGCTTTCAAAAAATGCGATTTTGGTTATTACCTATTGACAATGCATGTGATCCAATACATTTATGGCATTATTTTCAACAATAGTGTAAGTGTGTAACATTAATGATTTTTGAGAATGCTTTTAATGGTAATGTTAGACATTGTGAATTTTACTTGACATTGTGATGTTTATCTTGAATACAATTATATAATACCATGACATTGTTTTAACAATATTATTTTTTATTGAATTGACATTGTCGCGCCATTAACATCTTTGTTACAATGTTATTTTTATTTCATTGATATTGACAATGTTATTATTTGACATTTTAGCATTTTTCATACTTTTTGCAAATACCGGAGAACATGGGCGCCGCCACTGGCTCGCCCGCTAGTTCCACCGCCAAGAGCAGATAGTGATAATAGCCTAATATTAAATTAGGAATACTTTGTATCTTTGGAAACTTTTATTATTATAAATATATCTACCAGGTACCCTATTGGGTAACCTTTCCCATTATTTCACATGGTATCAGAAGCCTAATTTTTTTCTCTCCCCTAAACCCTCGTCGTTTCTTCCTAATCGTGAGTTCGGCCACAGCCTCCTCTTCAGCCGAAAGCATGTCTTCTTCCATCGAAACCCATTCTTCTTCCATGGATGGTTTCACAACTGCTTCTACCTTCACTACGGCGCCGGTATCTGCCTCTTTCACCGATGCAGCTGTTGTCCTCACTCGCGAGCCCGTCACGTTGACCGAGCCGCAGCCGGTGATCAATTCTCAACCGGGAATCCCTGTGCAAACTGCTGTGTCTCCCTTTGGTGCTGATGGTACGTACTCTCTCTTTCAAACCATCCCTCCGGTGTTTCCATGGCAGCCATCTGACATTCCAAATTTTTCTGGCAGCATGTTCTCGACCCCTGTCTCCTCTGCCACGCAACAGCCGCAACCCAGCCCTGGCTATTTTGGGTCAACGTTTTCCGGTGCTCCTGGTATATCTCGGCCGACTGATCATTCTCTTTTTCAGTCCCCAATGGCAGCTGTTTCTCAATCAATTTCACCGGCCAACAACGTTACTCAAATTGTTACTATTAAGCTTAAAGATGTGGAAGATTACATCACCTGGCGCACTCAATTCGAAGCTTTCCTAGTCTCTCAAGGTGTGTTTGGTTTCTTGGATGGTTCCACAAAGGTACCTTCGATGTACACGGTTGACTTTAATAATCGCCAAATAATTAATACTGATTATCATCACTGGTTAAGGGTTGATCAAACAATTCGTTCTTGGATTTTTGCTACTCTTACTCGTGATGTATTAATTGATGTCCATGAACTTAAGCACTCCTTTGAGATTTGGGAAAGATTGCAAAATCGTTTTCGTTCTGCTAGTCTGGCCAGGGCAATGACACTTAGGCGTTTATTGTCTAATGTGAAAAAGAAGGAAAATCAGTCTATGGAAAATTATTTAAGAGAAATTCATGCGTTAGTAAGTGAATTAGCTACAATAAATTCTCCTGTGTCCGATAAAGAAGTTCTTCAAATACACTTATGGGGCTCGAACAAGAATATGAATCCACCATGGGCACTATTTCTCTTTTTCCCGATAATTTCCCGCCAGACATTCTTCACCGGAGCTTGTTAGAAGCCGAACAAAGGGTCCTATATCTTCGTCAGCAAAATACTTCGCCTGCTTACCAAGCTTTAGGTGTCCAAGATCGAGACAATGCGCCACGTAGAGGCCGCGGTGGCCGCGACAGGGGTGGCCGTGGAAGAAACGGCCGCGGCAGAGGCCGTGGTTACCACCAGTACGGCCAGCAACCACCTCACGGCCACGGGCAGTAGCAGTCAGCTTCGCAGCAGGGTCCGCAACTGGGACAACACCATCACCAGCAGGGGTTCGGCCAGCATCATAGGGAGCAGCAACAACTGAGACCTTTGAATGCAGGCGCCATGACTAATTCTGTTTTGTCCACTTTAAATCCTAATGCTATATTATATTGTGGTACTAACGTTAAATCTGCAGGCTCTTCATCAAATGAGGGAATTCTTGGGGCCATTCCTCCACCCGTTGTGTGTCAAATCTGTTTTTCTGCAGGTCACTCTGCAATTAGCTGTCCTTCTCGTTTTTCGCCACCCACTGCACCTGTTCTTCTCACCGGTCAGGCTAATGAAGCTTTGTGGTATCCGGACACTGGTGCCTCTGCTCATATGACCTCTTCTGAAGGTATTTTGACAAATAAATCTACTTATTCTGGTCCAACTATTGTTAGTGTTGCTAATGATGCTCAATTCTCTATCAAACATGTTGGTGATATTTCCCTAAATTCCTCTGGCCGCCCACTGCTATTGAAATCTGTTTATCATGTGCCTAATATTAAATTCAATTTAATTTCAATTCAAAAATTGTGTGCTGATAACAACTGTGTTGCTATTTTTGACAAAAATTCTTTTTTTGTTAAGGAAAAAATTTCGGGGGCGGTTCTTCTTCGGGGAACAACTAATGGCCATCTCTATCCTCTTAGCCTGAGTCCACCATCTAGCCTAGCTTTATCTTCAGTTCTCACCACTG